GGATCCTTGGATCCATGGTGGGAGCAATTCCCACAATTCCAACTCCTCCCTTGGATCCATGGTGGGACCAATTCCCACATTCCCATCTCCACCTTGGAATCCTTGAAGCAATTCCCAGCTCCTCCCTTGGATCCACGGTGGGAGAGTCTCCGACATTCCAAATTTCTCCATGGGATCCTTGGATCCATGGTGGGAGCAATTCCCGCATTCCTGACTCCTCCTTGGGATCCTTGGATCTATGGTGGGACCAATTCCACCCCCAGATCCACTCCCGGATCCACCCCTGGATCCATTCCTGAATCCATCTCCAGATCCATCCTGGATCCACCCCCGGATCCATCCACGGATCCATTCCTGAATCCATCTCCAGATCCATCCTGGATCCATTCCTGAATCCATCCCTGAATCCACCTCCGGATCCATCCCCGGATCCATCCCCAGATCCATCCCTGAATCCATTCCTGGATCCACCTCCAGATCCATCCCTGAATCCCCCCCCGGATCCATCCACGGATCCATTCCTGGATCCATCCCCAGATCCATCCACGGATCCGTCCTGAATCCATCCCTGAATCCACTCCCGGATCCATCCCTGGATCCATCCCCAGATCCATCCACAGATCCACCCCTGGATCCATCCCTGGATCCACCCCCAGATCCACCCCTGGATCCATCCCTGGATCAGTCCTGGATCCATCCCTGGATTCATCCCCAGATCCATCCCTGGATCCATCCCCAGATCCATCCACAGATCCACCCCTGGATCCATCCCGGGATCCACCCCCAGATCCACCCCTGGATCCATCCCTGGATCAGTCCTGGATCCATCCCCAGATCCATCCCTGGATCCGTCCTGGATCCATCCCCAGATCCATCCCCAAATCCATCCCCAGATCCACTCCCGGATCCACCCCTGGATCCATCCCTGGATCCCACCCCAGATCCATCCCCAGATCCATCCCAGGATCCCGCCCTGGATCAATCCCTGGATCCACCCCTGGATCCACCCCCAGATCCATCCCTGGATCAGTCCTGGATCCATCCCCAGATCCATCCCCAGATCCATCCCCGGATCCATCCCTGAATCCACCTCCGGATCCATCCCTGGATCCGTCCTGGATCCATCCCCAGATCCATCCCCAGATCCATCCTGGATCCATCCCTGGATCCATCCCCGGATCCACCTCCAGATCCATCCCCGGATCTATCCCTGGATCCGTCCTGGATCCATCCCCAGATCCATACCCGGATCCACCCATGGATCCATCCCCGGATCCATCCTGGATCCACCCCCAGATCCATCCCTGAATCCAGCCCTGAATCCACCTCCGGATCCATCCCTGAATCCATCCCCAGATCCACCCCCAGATCCCGCCCCGGATCCGGCCCCGGATCCATCCCGGGATCCATCCCCCGATCCATCCCCGGATCCACCCCTGGATCCATCCCTGGACCCATCCCTGGATCAGTCCTGGATCCATCCCTGGACCCATCCCTGGATCAGTCCTGGATCCATCCCCGGATCCATCCTTGAATCCACCCCCGGATCCATCCCCGGATCCGTCCTGGATCCAGCCCCGGATCCATCCCGGGATCCACCCCTGGATCCATCCCTGGATCCATCCCTGGATCCGTCCTGGATCCATCCCCAGATCCATCCCAAGATCCTGCCCCGGATCCATCCCCGGATCCATCCCTGGATCCATCCCTGAATCCATCCCCAGATCCACACTCAGATCCACCCCCAGATCCCTCCCCGGATCCGCCCCGGATCCACCCCCGGATCCATCCCGGGATCCCGCCCTGGATCCATCCCTGAATCCATCCCCAGATCCACCCCCAGATCCCGCCCTGGATCCGCCCCTGGATCCATCCTGGGATCCACCCCCGGATCCACCCCCGGATCCATCCCGGGATCCACCCCCGGATCCACCCCCGGATCCATCCCAGGATCCACCCCCGGATGCACCCCCGGATCCATCCCGGGATCAATCCCGGGATCCACCTCCGGATCCATCCCGGGATCCACCCCCGGATCCACCCCCGGATCCATCCGGGATCCACGCCCGGACCCATCCCAAACTCCTTCCCGCAGAACATCGGCCTTTCCCTCCGGAAGCTGATCGGGAGCGTGGACGAGCTCCTCCCCAGCCTTCCCTCCTCTTCCCACACCGAGGTAGGAACGCCGGCAACGCCGCACCTGCTCGGGCGCCATTCCCACAATTCCCTCCCCGGAATTCCCAACAAAAAAAAAACCAATTCCCCCCTTTTCCCAGATCGAGGGCACGCAGAAGCTCCTCAACAAAGACCTGGCCAACCTCATCGGCAAGATGCGCCTGGCGCAGCAGAATTCCGGCACCTCGCTGGGCGCGGAATTCCGGCGGCAGATGCTGGCGGCGGCGCACGCGCTGGCCGTGGACGCCAAGAACCTCCTGGACGCCGTGGACCAGGCCAAGCTCCGCGCCCGGCCCTGCCCGGAATGAGGAAGAGGAGCGCGGAAAAACCGCCCGCATTCCGGCCGGGAATCGCCGTTTCCCGCGCCTCGCTTTTCCCGCTCTCGGGCGTCCATCCCGTGGCGTTTTCCAAGGAAAAATTGAGCTCCGGGGGGATCGGGGAGGAGGCGCCGGGATCCGTCTCGGCGCATTCCCGGCGGTCGTGGATGTGTCCTCCGAGCGCGGAGCAGGATCCCGAGGATTTGGGGATTTTGGGATTTTGGGACGAGCCGGAATTCCCCGGCGTTTCCCTCGGACGTCGCGTGGAAGATTTTATTTATGGAAGAGGCGCTGCTTCTTCCGGAGCCTGCGGAATTATTTCGGCGAGGGAACGCGTTATTCCCGAGTTTTGTGCCAGCGCCGCTCCGGCAGAACCGCGGTTCCGGCTGGGAACCGGGCGGTTCCGCCTTTTCCCTCCGCGTTTTTCCCGCAATTTTCCCAGATTTATTTTGGTTGTTTCTTCTTTTCCCCGGCTGAGATAAACCGTGTGCCAAAATCCTGCCGTGCCCTGTCCTTCCTGGAATTCCTGGAATTCCTGGAATTCCCATGGGAAGGGGAACGGATTCCTCGGGAAGAGGAAGGGTTGGGATTGTCAAATCCTGCCGTGCCCTGTCCTTCCTGGAATTCCTGGAATTCCCGGAATTCCCGTGGGAAGGGGAACGGATTCCTCGGGAA